GCAATGCAGCTTGGGCACTGCAGCCCCTGGGCTGTATCATAGACAGCTTGTTGCTGGACATTTGGGAGCCCTGGTGGGGCAGGAGAGGATAACTTGGCCTTATTTATCTGCTGCTGTACATGTCAGGATGAGGACATTCCTGCTTGCTGTTTTCCTGTAGCTTATGTTGTTGATGGGTTTTTGTTTGAGGGATAACTTTTCCCTTTGAAATGCCCATTTGCATGCATATTTATATGGGCTAATTACAAACTCACCATCAGAGTTGCTTTTCTGCTGACAATCAGTGTACAGCAAATTGTTGTGCCTTTTTGGAGATGCCTGCTTTGCTGCAGAAGTACAAACTTTTTATAAAATCGCTTGCTTGCATCTTTTGGGCTTTATGTTTTCAGTGAATGACCAATATTTGTAACAGAAGATTTCAACAAAAAAAGGCTGTTCACTGAAGGTTTTCTGAGGGAGAAATCAGTAATGTGAATTATTAAGTATAGAGAGGCTCATGTCTTCAAGCCACATATCTTCACAAGCTCAAAATAGGGTGGGTTTTTCATTGAACAAAACCTTGCACTTCTTGCAGGCAGCATATTGAAAGGTGCCTGCGCCTGGCAGCTCAGGCCTGGAGGGCTGCTCTCATCACTCTGCTGGTGACATGAGTTATTTCATAAGCCATGGAAATAATTATTTCAAAAGTGGATGTGTAGGGGATGACAGCAAAGGCAGAGGTTGGATTGCTGGATTTGCCTGAGCCCATCCAAAGCGGACTGCCAGCTAACGTACCAGCCATGGGATTCTGTGACAAGCCAAAAGAAACCTTTCCTCCAGCACATGCAAATACGTTTTGCAAGGCAAAAATAAGTAGTGATGCAAACATCACACTCATCTTTTTTGCTTGTTGCCTTAGGAAAAGAGGAAGGTAGGAAAAGAGACAAGGAAGGACGGACGCTTTACCCCACCAAGGGCTCTTTCTGGGAGCACTTGCTGTGTGTTTCTCTTTAGGTGGAGCTCTTCTGATTCCTGCCTGCCCTGTGAGTCACAACGAGGTGTCTGCGGAATGATTTGGTGATTGCTTCTGAAACCCGTGATTTCTCTTGAGGATCTGCTCTTTCCATCTTGACAAAGTTCTAATTCTTGCTTTCTGATAACACTGCGTGGCTCTTTGGGGGCCTGCCTATGTGAGGGACTTGTGGTTGATGTTCACATGTGACTGCAGGACATCAGTAACCTCATTTCTCCTTGGACAGGAGTCAGGGCCAGCTCTGGGAGCTCCCTATCCTGTTTCTCACCATGTTGCCAAACTCCAGGCGCTGTTTCTGCCCAGCATGGCACGTGGACACCACCAGCTTGTTGCTGGGACCCCTCTGTTACCTTGGTTTTACTCATGGTTCTGTACGCTCACATCTGATATTTGGAAGCAACTGTTACAACTCTGTGGATGCAGATTGCTTAAACATGGCCTCACAGAGTCAATGTAAATTTATAGCAGAAAAGGCTTGGACCTCAAAAGCCTTTTTTAACCCCTTCCAGTTCCATTTCCTCTGCCCTCTCTAATCTATTTCCAGCAGCTTTGAGTTGAATGTGGCTCCTGCTTTGTGCTTAAACTGACCTCGTCTGTGTCACCGCTACATTTTGAGATGGCCAGCAGAGATTTTGCACTTTTGCACATGCAGACATGTCCCACACATACCCACCGTTGGTGAAGGATTTGTCAATATAAGAAATTCTGGTGGAAAAATGCTCACGATGATGAATTCACAGAAAATACTTAAAATATTACACGCAGGTAGCCAGATAATGGTGTCATCCACCAAACTGTGACACAGTTCTCATAGAGCAAATGTCATTTCCCTGAAAAAAAAATCAATTTTCTTTCCTTAGGAAAAGGATGTTCAGAGCACCTTCAGTGAAAGAGAGAAGGTAGAAGAGCCTTTGTGCATGCCCTGCTGCCTGTGTTCTTATACTGATATTAACCACTGGTTTGGTTATTTCTTGTATATATCTGTATATAGATTTATATATTTTTTTCTCTCCGCGTTCCTGCTTTGAAATATGTGCCTGAATTCTCAATGAAGAACAGCTGAGAGATGAGGAAAATGGCTTAAGAATTCAGCAGGCTGTAAGCTATTTGGATTTAAAATAGTGCCTGGGAGAGAGCTTTTCACACTGCCTCACCGAACCACCCTCCTCCTGTCAGCGGCTGAGGTTGCCGTCCTTTGTTTGGCTCGATGTCGCCTTCCCTCTGACTCTCCAGTGAGCCTTCAAGGAAAACAAGGCTGAGCCAGGCTGCTTTCCTTTTTCAAATCCTTCAAGGTCCCTCTGAAAAAAAAACCAACAAAAATAACAGAACAACCTCGTGGGCCATAAGCCTTTGAGTTTGCTTCTCGGCTTTGTTCCTTCATCGCTTCCCCCTCCTCCTTTGCAGGACGCTGTTGAGTGCTCAGCATCACCCACCTCAGGCTGCAATGCTTGGAGCATCAGCGCCTGCTTTTCTGACCAGAGCATCTCCAGTACGTGCAGAATCTTTTTCCTTCCCTCTGCCAGGCTGTGCAAATACAAAGCTGCTGCTGCTGCCAGTGTAGCACAGTTCTGACCTGGATGCTTTGTCACAAACCCCGGAGCCAGGGGAGCTGGGAGCATCAGGTGCAGCCCACCCTTTGCGTCCTGCTGCAGGGTCACTTCCCCAAACAAGGAGACTGCCCACAGGGCATGCAGGCACAGCTTATGGAGTGCTTCCAAAGCCATTTTTGTTCCAAAATTCCTGTTGGTGGTTTTGCTGACCTCAGCAGGCTGTATCTTTTCCAAACGTTCCTGATGTTTCTCACAGAGTAATCTATTAATGTTGCAGACAAGGATTCTGCTGACTTCACTTTGGCTCCTGTTCCCCATTGAGCAGGCGCGTCTCTTTATGGGGGAACGCCTCAAGCCAAAAAGAGGGAAAAAAACCCCAGCCCCTGAGCTAACTGAAAACAGGCCCAAGGGGAAGCACTTTCCAGCCGCGTTGCCTCTCGCTGGCTGGCTTCTGTTCTGGGCTTGGGGATGTGCCAGACTTCAGTGCCTCCCTGCTTTTGATTCCTGTTTATCCCCAGCAACATGATTGTCTGTAATTATATATAATCTCTCCCGTGTTTACTCTTCTTCCTCCAGGTCTGAACACAGCTCCATGGCAGCTCTCTGCTCGGCCTGCCAAGGCCCCGGCTCCCAACTGCTGCTCGCCATCCTCCACCTTCTTTTTGAAAACTAACAAAGACGTCTGATTTCCTCCCCCCTCTTCTCCCCATGCCCCTCTGCTCCCTCCCCCTCGCTGGCACTGGGGTTATTTATACAGAATGTGGAAACAATTTGCAGGAAAGCGAACAATGTAACGCGGAGTGAGGGAAAGGAGACAAGTTCGTTGTGCACGCTTCTGGGCCAACTGCATTTTTGGGGGTGAGAGGGAGGGAACTGTTTTCCTTTCTTTCTGCTCCCCTCTTTCAGCATCTCGCTGCACTGCTTTCCATCTTGCCAGATTCAGATCCAAACCAGAGCAACCAGATCTGACTGCGTGTTTTGGAGAAAGTTCAGGTTGGATCCCTCCTCACATCAGAGCTCGCATCCGTGTGCTTAATCCTCTTGGAGTTTTTGCTCTCAGCTCGTTTCTGCTCCCGGGTTAGCGCTAATGAAGAGCATGTGTGTGGAGAGGTCCTGATGCAGGCCCCGAGAGCTGCAGCATTGCAACAGGCACTGCTTTCTGCTGGCGTGTTGCACCTAGCTGCTCAGAGGGACTGCCTTGGCAGGCTCCTCCCTTCCTGGGAGCTCACAGCATCTTTTCTCAATAGCCCCAAGACTTGGGACGTGATCTGTGCACGCTGTGCTGAGCTGGTGAGGCAGAGCCAGGAAGCTGCCAACTGGGACATCACGTTCCTCTCTATGCCAGGCACGTTTCTGACCCTGAGCTGGCGGAGATCAGTGATCCGACAGCACAGAAGGGACCCGTGCAGCATGGGACAGAAGGGACCCACAGCGTGTTCTTCCTGAGATCTTACATTTTCCTCACCTCCAAGCATTTCCTTGTCCTTCTCAGGCTTTGCCCATGCAGAGAGTGAACTTCAGTGTGTGTATGTTCTGCAAAATGTTTCTGTTTTCTCTTCCAAGCTAAGCACCAATGCTGTGAACTGGGAGCAAAGTCACTGCCACCTTCTGCTGATCCCCGGTGGCCAAGGCAGTGCCCAGACATCGCAGTGCAGTCCCTTTCCCCATCCTGAGCCAGGCACAGAGGCTATGGCACGCAGAACACGGCTCTCAGAGCTATTCCCTCGATCTGCACCAGCATTTGTGAGCACAGCGTGCTCCTCAGCCATCTCCCTCCCATCCATGCAGCTGCCTCGCACACAGCCTGTGGATGTCTGCAGCAGCCTGCCCAGGCTTGCAGCATCGCATGCTTGGCTGGCTAGCTGGGCTACAGAGAGTGTTCAAACGCCTGAAACTCTGAAGAGCCCCCTCTGCTCCCTCCTGCAGCCATGCTTGCAGGCTCAAGCTGCTGGGACAGCAGCTCTAGTTCTGAGGGTTGCCTCCAGGTGCTCACAGTGTAGGCAGACAGGTTTCCAATATCTTTCTGACTCCCAAGATCCCCTCTTATCCCTGGAAATGTGGCCTTGAATTAAACTGCATAGAGAACTCTCAACTAAACAGCTCGCAGCAGCAGTACAGGTTTGGGCAAAAAAGTCTTGTAGCTCTGCCTCTAGAGACTTGAAAATGTGGGGAACTCAGTGTAATTTCAGGGAAATGGTCACTGGAGCACGTGTTATTTTCCTTTCTGGTTTGATTCTAAATGTTAAAGTTCTAATAAAAATAGAAGGAAAACTCTCGTTGGAATGACTGTGCTGCCAAAGCCACCCTTGGTTTGGAATTTCCTCTGCCATCTCATTCTTGTTTTCATTATTTTTAGGTCTATTTAGATAAGAACAGATTTGTATTCTTCTCTCCATACTGCTTCCTTACTACCTGAAATCCTATTCTGCTCTTTGCAGTTCCCAACACAACTGTGAGCAATACCCTGAACGGAGCGCTGCAACTTCAGGTGGAGAAAAGCAACAGAAGCAGATGGGCTGGTAAACAGCAGAGCTGGCTGCCCCACAGAGGGCCGTGCAGAGCAGAGAGTAGCAGAACGGTTAGTAAACACTGAGCAACTTCCATTTTCTGGGCGATGTCAATAGCTGAAACGTGTGATAATCTGGGGAGAGAACAGAGGAGGAGCAGCAGCTATTGTATTTTGGCACAGTCGGCTATTCCCAGCAGAAGCTGTTCATGTTAGAACCTGTAGCAAATTGGAGGATATGGGAAAGGGGGATGTTTTCCAGCATAAAGAAATTTGTGAGTGAAGGAAAGAAGATTTTCCCCAACCTTTCTGTGATTGCATCTTTATCTTGGTGTCATTCCTATCTCCCCTTGAATTGCTTTTAAAACTGTCAGTCGATGAGAGCTTCATTGATAGGAAATTCCCTCAAATTACCCGAAGGCTTGTGGCCAGATGGAGGCAAAAGAAACCCCAATTGCCACCCCCACTACTGAACAAAAAGCCTCCCATCCCCTGGGAGAAGCAGCAGCAGCCAGCTGGCCAGCAGCACGCCTGCCACGCCGAATCAGCATGGGCTGCCATTTGTTTGGGACCTGCGCATGAGCTGGAAGGGCAGGGGAATACGATCTGTGGGATCCCTAATAACCAGGCCTGGGGATTTCTCCTTCTCAGGAGCTGCTCGTTGCCACACATGTTCCAGCAGCGCGGTGCCGCTGAGGCGAATCGGGGCTCATCAGCCTGCTCAGGGGTGCGGGCAGCTGCTCCGTGCACCCAGCCGTGCCCCTCCTGCAGGTGCACCCAGGGGACTGGCATGAGGGAAGCGAGGAGCCCAGCGCTGACAGAGCCTGTCAGGGCCTGCAGGCCAGGTAACAACAAGCCTCCCAGTGCTGCTAGCTGGCCCTAAGAAGCAGTGCATGAACCGTTTCCTGAAGGGATGCAGATCTCTGGCTATATACATTCTCTTTTCCCTGTCCTTTACTCGCCTTGTGTGTAAAAGAGCCTGGGAGTGCTGCAGACAGGCAGACCTGTTCCACTCTAAGAGGTCTGGGGACTCCTTCTCTCTTTCCTTCCCTTCCCCTCCCCTTCCCTTTCCTTGCCTTCTTGGGCAGGACCCTTTTTCCTGCCATTTCTGCCTGCCCTTTGCTTACCAGTGAACCCTGGGGGATTTGGTTGCTTAGCTTTAGAGCCAGGAAATGAATGAAGAAGGGCAGGAGAAGAAAGAAAACAGGATAAGGCGGCTCACTTCCATGGTTTATTGGGTCCAGAGAGATTTCTGTAAACCACATGGTATCAGGTGTAAAAGAAATGAAAGATGATAACCAACGTGGAAGAATGGAGCAGCCCAAACCTCCCACAGCCCAATGCGTCTCCAGAAATGTTGGCGAGGCTTAACCAGCAATTTATGGTGTACCTGCTGTCCGAGAGCAGCCCTTCCACCTCGTTCCTGTCAAGAAGAGGTCCTGATTCATGTCATCTGTTTTTATTTCCTCCAGCAGGGAGACTACTGCAGATCCCATGGATTGCAACAGTCTCAGGGAAAAGAGACCTATGAAAGATGGCTCCAGGTGAGGATTTCAAAGAGATTTGTGTTTGATTTAGGGCTGAAGAGTTGATATTTCTATTGTTGCTGGGGACTGGGAGGGGAGAGATTACTGAGTCCCTGAATCTTAATGTAAAATCATTATAATCTGGAACAGTCTGCCAAAAAGACACTTAGGGACAACTAAATGTACAAAGCAGCTTGAATATCTCTACCACCAGAGATCACCCAGTGCAAGATAAAGCCTATGAAATGGGCAGTGCTTTAATAAAGCACATATGTTTGGGGACTCTAAACACACACAAAAAAAACCCCAAAACAACCCAATATCTGAGGAGAAAGAGATTTACATTTTCTTCTCGGTTTCCAAGAAAGAGAAAATACCAAGAAGTTGCTCTCTCTCCCTCTTTTTTTCCTTCTTTCCTGAGGATGTCTGAGCTGGATGAGACCCACCTAAGATGATCCCCATAACTCACCCCATGGGCTGCCTTTGTCCTTTTGTCCTGTCACAAGCGGTCACAGCATTTCTAGGGAGACTTGTAATTCCAAGCAACAACCTCAGAGGTTAATTGAAGTCTGAAAGTAAGTTGATTTGGTAGATATGCTGGACAGGTTTTAATTACATGTTTGGATCTCTGTTGTTTTAACCATAAACTTTACTGGGAAAGGAAATGGTGGTATTGGAAACAACACCTTCAAGCAGTTTGGACTTGGAGACAGAAAATCAGGGGACCAACAATAGAAGCGGGCTCTGAATTGAAAGAATCCCTTCTGTTTGTTTTGGGCCCCAAATAACTGGACTATGTGTAAGGCCTGCTTTCCTGAGGAGGGGTGCTCAGCAGATCTTTGAGGAAGCAATCCAAAATGCAGACTATACACATCTGTATTTTTTCTTGCCTTCTGCCTCATTTCTGCTTGCCGTTCCATATTCTCCTTGCAGCTTTCCAGTTACTCTTCCACTTGCTCCCCTTTGCCTCCTGCTGAGTCAATTCCTTTATTTTCTACCATTGTGTACTGCAGTCACTCCCAAAACCTGGGCAACCTTGCTCAGAAGCCTTCTTGTCTCCTGAGCTCACTGCCAACTCTCCTGCTGAAGCTTTTCATTCTTTGTTCAGCAGCAGAAGAAAAGGCCAGGAACGCATGCTGTGACGCCGCTCAGGTGCCTCTGCCCTGCAGTTCCTCACACACTCTGTAATGTGCAGTCAGTGAGAAGCGTAACGGCAGAATTGGTTTTAGCACATGGGAGAGCAGCGAGTGCCGCGGCCTGGTATCAGGCACCACGTTCTGGTTTTGGTTTGGACACTGACTCACCTGTGAGCTTAGGGAAATCATTTCCTTTTCTGTGCACCTGTTTCCACTCCCCACCTCTAATTGTCTGGTTAGCTGCGAGCTCTTCAGGACACAGCCCGTCTTGCTGCGTGCACATGCAGCGCCCGGCACAATGCAGCCTTGTCTTGGTTGGGGCCTGAGGTGTTGGAGCAGTACAAAACAAAAGGTATGCCCAGACGGCAGGGCAGGCTGCCCAGACGTGCTGCCCTGCAAGCATGTCTGAAACCTGATGTGCTGGGAGCTGTCTCCATTCCCAGTCCTCGGCCAACAAAGCATTAATCAGTTCCAATTACACTGGTGGGGTGAACTGGCGTGCTCCCAGTTCTGCTGGGAGCTGGGCTGAAATCACTCTGCTGGTTCTGTAGACTCGGGCAGCGCTCCATAGGAACCTGTGTCCCACACAGCCCTGGACCCGCATCAAGTTTTTCTGCCTCCCTGCAGGTGCGAGGCTCCTGACACCAGCCCTGCTGCTCATCTAACCCTGCTCAGAGCTGAGCTCGCTCCATTTTGCCATTTTCTCCTTTCCTCCTTCATCCGAAGAGATGCATGCATGCCTCCAGCTTTGCTTCTTGCCTCCCTGCTTCTGCGTAGCTCCTTCCTCAGGTTGTTTTTTCCCAGCACTCCATCCCATCTTTTGCATTCCTCCCTGCTTTGATACAGCATCTCGTCCTGCTTCACACTCGGAGAAGGGGTATTAGGTGGATTCCCCATAGAGTATAAATTGAATGGAGAGAAGTGGCTGGTTTCCCAGTGATTATTTATCTGATTAAAAAAATACTCCCCAGTCTCCCCCCACCCCCTCTGCCAGTGCCACACCCCCTGCAAAAGGAACGTTGGCACTCAGGCTGGTGTTTGAACTGTGGTGTTCAAATGGCTGGAAGGGGGATTTAGATGGGAAAATAACTGTCAAAAGATGGTTCTCTGGGGGAAAAGCATGAATGCTGAAATTTGGAACGTGGCTGGTGTATGGAGGAGGCAGAGAGTAAATAATTCTGAGTCAAGTACCTCTGTGCTTTCTAGCTTCACCATCATCTAACTGATATTTTACACACGTGTGCCCCTGCACACTCATCCATTGGAGAAGCCCGCAGCAGCAACTCCAAAGCAAAGCACGCTGCTCCTGCCGCTCCATTCCTCCTCTCTTCTTATTTGCTTTCATTCAGAGCTTCTCCCAAATCCACTTTACAAAGTGCAGATCTCCTTGTTTGTTGCCTGTACAGGCTTTATCCATCCAAATCAGCATTATCCAAGGGTAGAAATGTTTGTCTCCTGCTGAAGCCAGTGTTGCTCCATTTGTATTTGGGGAATGGCAAAGTCACCCCTCGTCAGTACAGAAGCACAGGTGACCTGAACTATGCCTTTCTGGCCAATCTGTGTTTCTCAGCTGCCTTTTTCTTTGAGAGAGAGAGGTATTTTACATTTCATACTGCTTCCACAGTATGCAGTGATTTATAACAGGAGCTACCTTATTAATGTCAAGGGCAGAATTGCTACCGACATTCAAGCTGTAAGAGCGTATGAAAAGCATTTAGTGAGCTGCGGCACGATCCCAGCACTGAGGGCTGTTGGCTGATGTGTTGGTGGCCTCAGCCCAGCCTGCCTGCTGCTTTCTGGGCCAGTGGGTGAAACATGAACAGGCCCATTCTGGGCTGCAGCTCTGCAACCGCCAGGCAGCCCTGAGACAGTCGCCAGGGCTCAGGTTTCCTCGAGTTTTGACAGGAGTGCAGCTCAGAGGAAACCTCTCTGCTCCTTCTGGAGGATTTACACTGCCACAAGTCTTCATTTTTTCCAGATGTTTTACCTAATAAATCAAGGAGTCTCATCAGAGGATTGAATCCAAAAGCTGTTACCATGACTTCAAAGGCACAGAGTGGAGCAGAAAGAAGCAGCGCGGACATTTTCTACCAGTCTGCAGTCACTGATGGTGAAAATATACTCTGGTTCCAGGTTTTTTTTCTGTGGGAACCAAAACTCCACCTCGATTAAATAAAATGGTGCCGTGCCCCCAGTCAACATCTGCTGGAAAAGAATCCAGGTGAATTTGGGCTGAAGTTGGCAGAAGTGGCAGTGGGTGACGTGGCGTTTTGCTGGCCCAGAGGAGCTCTGCCAGCCCCATCCTCCTTCAGCTCGCTCAGCTTTGAGGTCACTCTGGCTTTTCAGATCAGTCCGTGGCTGTGACCACAACCTGACTGTGCTTGCTGCAGGTGGGCATTGCGTTTGGGTTGTGCCTAAGGATTCAGGTTCATGCATAGTTGTCACCATGGAGTGTCGGGAGGGCCCAGCTAACCCCTGTCTTACATTGGTAGCAGGTTAAGGGCGAGCAGAGGGCTCTTCCCACAGAGCAGATGGATGGTTGGGTCTCTGAAGGAGCAGGACTGCAGCATCTGGAGTGCTATGAAAATACTGCACAGCCCCCAGTAAACATGGCCATTACACAGAACTGACCCAGGACATGGATTTTCCCCAGTCATGCCTTATTTTATGTGTCTCAGGTGGGGGGCTGTCAGACTGGGATAAGCCAGGTACATATCTCCTGTATTACAATGATTTGTTCAGACTGAAAAAAAAAAATCAACAACAAAAAACAAAACAAAACAAAAACACCCCAACCCAAACCCAACTTGATCTAACTATTAAATAACATGAATCAAATTACACTTACCACAAGACAGTTTGTTCCTGCTATAGACTTCAGAAAAATTGCTTCCCTCCCCCAGGATGCTGACACCCAGCAAACTGTCACGGCTGCCTGGGATTGGTGACATCTCGAGTGACACGTGTTGGATCGTCAGATCAGAGTGGGAGCAGCACAGCTTTGGGAGCCTAAAAATAGGTACTGTCATTCTGAGCCGAAGCCTCTCTCCTCCTTCCCAGCCCACCCCACCCTGCCTGTTTGGCACGTGCAGCACATGGTTGTAGTGTTCACGTTGTACCAAAGAAAAGCCACATTC